GTAGAACTTTGAGAAAGTCTAGTTAAGAACGTTCATAATCCCATCTCTGACTGAAAGGGGCACTATCCATGAGTGAAGTCTGCATACGAGCCAAGTGGCTCATTAGGCCGGAGTTTTACCGGTTTCTGCAGCATGAAGCGAGTATTTCTACTCCCTCCTGGATGGGGTGATGGTCCATCGCAGCACCGCTCAATTTGGCAGTACCCATTTATACACCTGGGCGAAGAGAGGCACTGTGAGAGTAAGGTGTTTTGCCCTGGCCAGGGCTCGAATCCGGAGTCGAGCGCAATAACCAAGAGGCCAGGCCGTGCACGCCTCTCACTGTCCATGAGAATGACTTCAAAATATGGTCTCTTTTAAATAAAACTTACTATATAAGTGCAACGAAGCTATAAAATGAGCGTTTATTTTACTGAGATGAAATCTACTTCTCTGACCAAGTATGGTAAAATAAATTTAAGGAACATTTTAGGATTTTAAATGACTTGATTACCAAATTCAATCTACCTATGTGCTGTACTTGGTTCATGACGATGAGGCTTGTGTCAAAAGATACAACGATGACGCGGAACGACGCCGTGAAATGAGACAGTGGATAACTGACCTATTCTTCCCCCCCTCTCCCCACCTCCCCCCCTCTTCCGTCCATTACCGGGATACCCCCAAGAATTTGATTTTTACACCGGGGTGGATGAAGGCACTGGGAGAGTGGTGTCTTGACTAATGACATAAAACGCAGACCATATGAAATACTGTTGAGCTTTTCATATTGTACATTATCGCTCTTGCATTGGACAGAATTACTTACGAGAATTACGTATTCAGTGTATTTATGGTACGGGCTTTCAAAATCAGTGCATGGCCGGCTATCTTTTAGTCCCCTTAGAATTGAGATTGTGATCAGAAGTATCTCCCTAAATCTTCCTCCGAAACTTTGGAGAAACGAGAAAACGTCTCAATTCTGTAAACGACCTCTAATGGCCACTAATGGCGCGTTGTGTACGCACCTCAGCCAATCACATTACAGCATCTGCATCAATGGTATATCAAAGAATGAGAACTTGAGCTTAGAAGTGGAAACGGCATTTTATTTATATTGCACTGCCTTTTTGTAAATGTAACACAATTATATACAAACCAGTGACTATTTCTAAATGTAAAAATGATGTACGGTGGCCAACATAAATTAAGATTCAAGGCATCACATGAAACTTTACAATAACATAAACACGGAACACCACAACCTGCCTTGGTGGTTGCAAAATACAAACATTGCTTTGACTGAATACAGCCACGTTCTTGTCGACGACATATGTTACAAACTATCTCGCACATATCATAGTCACGTGTCTGTGGTAACATTCACCAATCGCTCGTGTCTTTGATCATAAGATGCTCGCCCCCTGAGTAACAGTCTCTGCTCCTGTTCCTGCAGTTGACCGCTGATTATCACAACACACTCGTACTCGACATTGTGCCTACAAGTGAAAAAAATAATAATAAAAATAAAATAGAATAAAAAAAAAATAAGAACGATTAAAATAAAGTCGACTTCAGTTAGACAATAACCAATCGATTTTTAATCGTTGTCGGTCTATCTGTCTCTCTGCTAAAAAATGATTTGGCGAAAGTTAAAGAAAAATCCAGCTGAATTGTAAATCGTATCCACGCCCTCAGGGAGCAAGAAAATGAGATAATGTGCTAAAAGTGAGGTTAAACAAAAGAGTTAAAACGTTCTTGAAGATGCGCCATGCTGCTCTTAAAGAGGGGATAGACTGTCAGAATACCAGTACACCTAAAGTTACTTACTTGGCTGTGAAAGTGATTTTAAGCAGAGTTTTAGTCTTGGCTGTGAAACTCGTGTTCGCCTCGAGATATCCCTCAGTGGGATTCACGACAAAAACATCCCGACTGACGGCAGGGTAACGTGGGTCTGTGAAAAATAAAAGCGGAAAAGGAATGAATGATAATGAGCAACGAAAATCTTTACATTTGAAGTGACAAAACTGTTCCTCTGCTTCTTCATCATGAAGGTCCTTATCTTCTGGTCATGTACGCCTCAACAATGCTAACTGAAATTAGTATCACCCAACTAGTGGACTAATGCAAATCCTGCATTTTAATTGGCTACGTTACCAGAGGACTATTAGTAATGGTCCTCGAGTAGCGAAATTTGTGCAATCGAGCGTGACGCTTTCTTCCGTTTTATTCCCAAATAAATATTCTTCAACTTGCATTTGCTAACTTTATTATTGCCTTTTGTGTCCGACTAGTTGGGTGATACTAAAACAATTAGACCCTTCGCCCTCAAGGACCAACAGCTTCGCCTCACGGGCTATTAACCCGTAGCTAATTGTTGATAAGATATATTGTTACACTGCTAGCAAATTAAGGAGGCTAGTCTACAGCAGCCTAGTGCAAAATTGCATTTTGTCTTTGTTTCAAAACGAAGACAAACTTGAAAAAAGTTTTCATCGGAACAAATTTCTATGAAAATGAAGTCGTGAAACTCATTTCTCATGTGAAAGTTATGTACCAAGTCTCGTTGGTGAAGCGGAGGCGAAAGGCAACTCGGAAGGACGGAAGCGTAAGAAAAATGATCAAGGAAGTCTGTATTGACTAACAGATCCTAAACAATAGGTATGAGAGGTATTCGTTACTCTAATGGTTAAAGCCCTGGACTGTACCTCGAGTGGCCAGGGCTCAGTCGAGCCGGCCCTTTCCGAGGTCATTTTATCGGGGGTTCTTGTTCAGGACAACTCTCTCCACCTAGTTGTATAAAGTTTCAGAAAAGGTGACGGTCAAAACTGACCGCTTACCCACTAAACTCCTGAGCCCCAGGGGAGAGGGGGGGGGGGGG